GCGCCGGCCGTTGGTTCAGTGGGGATTGGTGATGATATTGAACTGCAGAGGGGTCCCCGGAAGGCCAACATGTACAATAACCGCTTAAGTCAGCATTTTAGGCAAACTAGTTTTTCGCTTGCCCGCCGTTTATCCAGTTGGGGTTGGTGATGCTATCAAAAAATGTACTTCAGTGACCTCGCCAAAGGTCAGCGAACATCCCCCAACTTACACGCGTAATTTTCTTAATTTACATGATTATTACACGGAGATTTGTCCCCCAATATGCCCCACCCATTCTACCCCCTAAGACCAAGTGCCCGTATTGGAGTGGAGAGCGCTTTGCGCGCACTGTGGGGACCCCACGATAGTTCCTTACCATTCATTTGAGTTTCTTGTGGGTTGAGGAACCTGTACTGGGTGTGCTGTCCTATCTCACACAGGTTTTCTGTCGTCGTGACCTTGTCTCGCCTTTTAAAAATCGATGAGGTTAGCAACAGAAAAGTGCAGTTATTTCTGAGACAACAATGATCGTTTTCGTCCTAGCCTTTTTCCTCATCGTTTACGAACAAACAGAGTGGACCGATCATTGCGCCAATGTGTGTGATCCCTCGCTATCGTAGCGCTTGTGTAGTATTCAAAGAAGCCCTACTGGATTCTTCCTTTTGCCCTATCTTCACCTCCTGCATGCATTTAGAACTTCTTGATCTACCCCCCCCCCGCACTATCTGGCCCTTCCCTCTGACCGTATAGATACTTCCACATGACGCGGTCGTGCGTTCCCTACGCTCCATTGTCAAATTGAACTGGAAAGGCGCCGAGTCAGGTCAAATCGGCGCAGTAAACGGTGTTCTTCCAAAAGGACAATTCGACACCTCGAACATGCAATCCGAGGAGTTCTGGGTGGCTGTAAATTACTGCCTTGGTTCCCTCCTGATGCTCGAGGTAAACCCAATAGTTTTTTTCGCTTTTTGTCGTGCAATGAACTCCGCTGTCCGTACTCGGTATGTATTTTTCAACCGTTTTTGTTTCTCTCGCTCCCAGGACATGCCCGAGGATGGATTTGAACTGACAAGAGTCTGTTTTGAGCACGTTTACGATGAGTTGGGATTACATTTTCAGACACCCGAAGCCTATACCAAGGACAGGACCTATAGATCACTGGGCTACATGCGGCCATTGGCTTTTTGGAGTATTCATCAGGCTCTCAAGCTCATTGGTCCTTAATTTCAGGCGTTTTATCTCCTTCTCACCCTCTACAAATTGTGTATTTGTTTGTATTAGCCGATCAGTCTATTTTTAGTTATTGACCAC